AAAACAAGCTAGTAGGTGGTGAGGTAGAAGAGTCCATTGTGGTGTCCATAATTGTCAAGTGGCTCGATAATCGGCTTGTTATCTAGTGCCAGAGGAGCAAAAACTGGTAAGGGGTAGTTGGAAGGGGGCCCTTGTGCAGTCTTTAAAAGAGAGCATTGAAACACAGGTGGAATTTTTGAACCGGAGGAAGATCGAGTGATGGCGACAGGCCGATCGAGCAGCGAGCAGTGATGCGCGAAGGGACCGTAGAGCGCTTGTAACTTCGGGGTGGTAGGGAATGAAGAGATCGTTGACGATATGGTCTAAACAACAAAACCCAATCGTCGACTTGGAAAGAGATACTCTCTCTGCGTTGACGATCTGCTATTGCTTTCATGGTCAGTTGTGCTTTCTCGAGCTTCGCACGCAACTGATCAAGAAGAACTTGGCGAGATGTAAGTAAGGAATCAACTGCCTCCACCGAAGGAGGATCCTGTTAAATAAAAAGGAATAGAGGGAGGAGGTTTGCCAAAGGTAATATGGAAAGGAGAGGTCCCAGTAGCAGAGTGGATTGAAGTATTATAAGACCATTCAGCAAGGGAAATGTATTTGCCCCAGTGGGGAGGATGGTCGTGCACAGTCCAATGGAAGGGACTTGCACCTGAGGATACAACTTGGGAGCCTTGGACGGATCTCATTTTTGATTATCACCTTGAGGACAAGGTGCCTTTTGCAGTGGTGGGTATTGATAGCAATATAGGCTCTGGCCCAAATTCTGATGTGTTGAATGGGCCTAGCAATGACAACAGAGGAAATATGAGAGAGAGGCCTAGTAGGGAGCACAATATGCCAAATTATCTCCAGGACTACATCACCAAGTAGAAAGATTTCTAGTATTTTCTATTTTGTCAGTATTCACTATATTTGCTGAGCTGTACTTTCTGTTATTGATGCTTTCTGTTTCCACAATTCACGGGTAGCCAATCATTGGTAACGTGAACATTGTTAAATACCCAAACTTGAAATGAATAGAAAAAAAAGAAGAATTTTCATCATCTGTCTCTGTTAATTCTAGGAGGCTCCTTGATCCTCGAAATCAAGGCAACTTATACCTATCAAAGACACTAAGGAGGCACAGCAATATTAGACAATACCAACCTTTAGCTGCCTCTGGGAGCCATCTGGGCTAGACATTATATGAAATTTGTAGCTGACAAATCCTAGTGCCATGAAGAGAAAAATGGAGAATTAAAGCAATTAATAACCATCTTATAATTATTAAAAAACAGTAATAAAAACTTATAAGTAGCAGACAGATTTTGTTCTGTCCAACACTCTAAATTAAAAATCTTTAACAGTTATTCAAAAGACTCAAAAATCATGTTAACCAGCAAGCTTAAATTATAATTTAATTATATGGTAGCATAATACTATTGAGACATGTAATTCCCACTCACGGATCATAATGTTGGTAAAACTGACACAAATTAATGTGCTAGAGTTTTTGGCTACATCACTGTCCAAGTTAATTAATGCACAATCAATCAACCATTTTTCACCCTGAAGCCCTCCATTATCTTGGTAATTTAACATGCTGAATAATAAATATTACCACTTTCATCAAACCAAGTTTGAATCACATTAAAGAGAACACTATAACCTGCCGCTCACTACAAAGAAAACTTGGATAACAACTTTGCTTGAAACAAATCAATGGATTGACAGTACCACAATGGCAACGCTTTTTTGGAACTATAACAGACAGAGAACACAATTTTACAATTTGTATAACATAAATGTTGCTAGTAACACAAATTGTTACGGTGCCATAAATTTTAAAAAAATCTGACCTTCCCTATCAGGACCTGGGATAATTTGGCTTCCATCCTTAATGACAATGGTGTCATCACTGTGTATCACAGCCCCATCAACAAGAATTGTATCTTGACTACAGCGTGAATACATGATACACCCAAAACCAAAGTAATTAAAATAAAAGGAGTAAAATACTCAAAGGAAAGGAGATAACACCCTTCTTGAAGAGATAAATAAACATTTAATAGTTCAACTCAGGTTGGAGGTTGTAAGAACATTATTATGATTAATTAAAAGTAAATTGCTATTGATTCATGATCATGAAGCTGAAACAAGTTATGGGATTTCAACCCTAGCAAAGCAGAGAACTGATTCTAATAATACAGTTGCTCCTCTGATTTTAATGGAATTCAAATGTGAGTTGAAATCGTATATTGTTTAGAAATGGGCAAGCTGAGAAATATATAAATAAGAAAGACCTACAGACCTATTGTCTTAAACTTTGGGTTGACTGTAGTGTCTTGTTCTCTTATGTAGTTGGTTCTTGATCCACATTTGTGAATATCTCCCAAGTGTTTCTCCCCTTGGATTTCTTAACAATAGTATTAGAGTTGATGGTTAGTACTAGTGACCAATTCAAACAAATACAATGGATTTGGTGTTGGATTCAGATGTGCAGATGATCCCTTTTGAATCCATGAGGTATGCCATTGAGGTGAAGAGAAGTGTAAGTAATGGACAATTAAGTGCTTTCACTTGAGGGGGAGTTTACAGTATGGAAGGAACTCACTTGAAGGAGGGTTTGCTAGAGTTCAAGTGTGAGACTCATACATTGTGTAGTAAAGGACAAGTTGAGTGATATATGAGTGAGAAAAGCTCATAAACCGATTGTCTTAAGATTTTCTATTGAAAATGGTGTCATGTTTCTCCCCCTTGGATTACCAACATTCTTCTCAAACTAACAAAGGACTGATATTTATCGTGAATAATAGGGAACATGATTTTCAGAAATACATACAAGTTGTTAACTAGTCAAGACTTTACCTCTTGTTCTCCATTGTGGCCGAACATAGGTCAGGATTCCGTACTATTTTGCACCAGCTATGTTTGTCACTAGAATTAGCTGATATCTCTGAAGATATTACTTTTTCATCTGACCTTATCTCCACATCTGAATATCTCTCGTCTGATGGAACTACAAAAAGGAAATAGTTTGATTAAAATAAGAAACGTAAGGAAGTTTAAAACTTCACACTTTACTTGCCTCTTCAATTGTTTATATCTAGGAGTTAATTGGCATCCCCTTAAAAAGTGGGATGAAAAAATTCAGATGTGTTTTTCATACAAATTTCCAAATAAAGTCCATACAGATACATGTGTTTTACGTGGTTTATTTTTACGGGAACAAAAATTGATATTGTAAAAAGCATTCAAATGACATTCTCAGCAACCCCTTGAAATGTATAAATCCATTAGAACAGCGAGCTAACACTAGCATCTCCATTTATTGCCACCCACTTCAAAACAATAGACACACAAATCCAACTCTTTTTCCTATCCAACCCTACAAGTTCTTGTCATTGTGAAGACAGCACCACCTTTTAAATTAGATTAAAATTACCATGCATCCACTTTCTCTATCTCTCATTTCCGCCTCATTTTTCTTCTTATTTTTCTTATTATTTCCGATCACATCGTCTATTATTTTTTCTCTTCTCCCTTCTTTTTTTCCTCTGTATCTCTCTCTTCTTTGTGCCATGCACCCCAATAAGGGGATGCACGTTTAACTTCCTTTAAATTATTCAAAGCCCCAAAGTGACATCCACAACTACCAATTGTTACAATCCGTGTCCGTAATCGATACGATGAACTACGCAGTAACCTACAATGAAATGGAGGCTTCGACATTTCACAAAAATGTGAACTTGGTCATCAAACCAATAAAAGAAATAGTCTTTTCATACTCAGACTTCAGATTCCACTTAAAATTTGAATAAAGACAGTGATATCCCAATTGGGTGGAGAGGGGGAGAAATGGAAAGCACCAAATTTGAAACTTTGTTTGGTATCTATAAAATGTGAGTGCAACGGTGGATAACAGGAATGAAATTGAAGATTAAAAATTATTATTACCAAGTTTGGCCCAAATTTCATCTAAGTGCTTTGCTGAAGTTGAAGAAGAGCATTCTCCGGTTTCCTCCATTGATCACGGGAGAAGCCTCTTTGGTCGGTGAAGTGGAGTACAAAGGTTCAAGTTCAAACTTGAAAGGTTTGTTGATATTGATTGATAGGTCAAAAGCTTGCATGAAGAGATCAACTGCTTAGTATTAATGTTTTTTTTTATACCAATAAAATTTTATATTTTATTTTTAGTCTTCAATAAAATGATTTTTTATTTTATATTTTGTTGTATATTGACATTTTCTTAACTCGTGAATTATTCATTGAATAATCATGTAGTTAAAAAAAATGTATCTTTTAAAAATCATTTCATTAAGAAAAAAAAAAGTTACCTATGTGATACAAATGTCTATAGCATATTCACCTCGGTGATAAGAATTGTATCTCCTTACTTGTTTTTTCTTTATATGTCCCTTATTTATATGTTAAACTAGATATGTATACCATATTAATTATTTTTTTCTTCGTATAAAGTAATGATAAACAAAATACATATGTTAATTATATTCAATATACCATAGTCCCTTATACATAACTTATTTAAGGATGTGAGGAAACCACAATAATTAACTAAAGGTACAAGTTTTATCGAAGACAGAAATGAAAAATTAAAAAAAAAAAGTTTATGACATAGAGAAAGGTGTAAAAATCTGTTGGGACAAAAACTAAAAAATAAAAATACATATTTTAATCTATTTAAGCATTGAAATAACTAAATTCCATATACAAAATTTAACTTTGATATATGGATAAAATGTGGACTTGTAGGGTAAAGATGTAAATAGTTTATTGTAGTAAATAAGATGCGTAAATAATCCTTTAGAAAAAAATCTATAAATTTATACATATTACATGTAATATGATTTTTACAACAAATATATATATATATATATATATATATATATATATATATATATATATATATAATACTTTCAAATAATGTAATATTTAAAATATAATAAATTCAATTGTAATTTGTAATTGATTGTACACTTATAAAATTTTAACATTTTATTTAATGATGTAAAACTATTAAATAAAGGTATTTCATAATTGATAGTCAACTGCATATAACATACCATATATAAAATATTAGTATAGCATAATCGTAACATTATATATGTAGAAGAAGTTCTTCTAAAAAAAATTTTGCTTTCAAAACAAAACATTACTAAAAGAAATGTTATTATAATAAAAAGCAAATAACTTCTCAATCCTCATTGTATAATTATATAATAAGAGAGAGTTACGCATATACCTCCCAAACTCAAGACAAGATGTCATGATTTTTTATTTTATCAATAAAATAATATTAAAGATAATAATAATCAAACTACTGTATTTAAAATAGTTCGCATAAATTAGTGTCTAACTATACATACAAGTGTATATCAATAATCACTCTCAGCATCTTATAAAATTACTTTATCAACTTTTGCACATTAGCTAAATTACACAATTCACACATTTGGTAATATCAAAAGAGATCAAAAGGTCTTTCATAGGTTGTAACGAGGCTTGGCTAAAGAAATACAATTTTTCAAGAATTCAAAAGCACCATTAAACCAATGAGAACAACCAAATGTACATAATACATTATATTCTAGATATTCTCTACATAATAATTTTTCCAAAAACTGTTATATCTTTCTCATAACAAGACCTTTTTTCGTAACATATTATGTTGGCTCTTTTCCTTCTTTTTTTCATTTTTTTAAAAAAGAATTATGAAATTATTCAACAATCAGATCTTTAATCCATTTGACATTGATAAAAGAAGAAGATGAACATTTTGCTTCAATAAAGAATTTTGATGATAATTACTCGTGGAGAAGTATTGAAGACTTAAATAATGTTTAAACTAAAGATATTTTTCTCCTTGAAAACTTAGGAATTTAGTTGTTGAAGTCTTGTGATTTGTGTATTTTATTTAAAATAGTTAAATTAATAGATCACGAGTCAAAAGACATAACTCAAGCATCAAAGGGCTAAAAGAGTTTTAATTTTTCATAAAAGTTATGTGATAATCGATTATCACTAATGATAATAGATTATCCAATTAAAAATAATTTTTCATAAAAGTCTTTATAATAATCAATTATCACTACTAGTAATGGATTATTATAGGAAGAAAATGTTTTCAAAAAAGTTTATGTGATAATCGATTATCAACATTCAACGTCACTTGTAATTTGACTCTTTAGTTTCTTGAGTTAATTTTCAGAAAAGAGAGTATATACATTTTGGCTAAACCTAATTTTTAAAATAACTTTTCATTTAGAGGTTTATACTTATGTCTACAACAAAAACTCTGTGTTTGTGAAAAAAAAAAAGCTTTGTAAGACATAGTGTGGGTAGAATGAGAAATTTGACTAAACGTGTTCTTGAGTAATTGAATGTTAATGTTGTTAGAAAAAATTGTTTATCCTTTATGTAATTCAAATTATGTGTTTCATCCGTGTGTGAATTAAGAAAGGTGTTGTTAATCTCTTGTCTTCAAGAGAGATGCTTTCTAAACTAAACTTTATTTTTTGTGACTGTAAGTTATGGTTATTTTAGTGATTAATTAATCAATCTTTAGAGAGATTAACAACTTTATGTAGAGTGTTTTGATTTGAATTAGTATAAAATTACTTGTGTAAATCTCTATTTCTCCATACTCTTTATTTTTATTATTATTATTGAAAAAATCAACTTTGTTTTTAAAAGGTATAATTTTATTAAAGAAACTAAATCACCTCATCTTGAGTTTTGTCCAAAAGAAACTAATTTCATGTACTCTCATATCCCTGTTTTACTCATATTTACCTATTCTCTTTGGTTAGAGTTTAAAACAAGATATATTTTCTTTAAAAGGCTGAGAGTAGAAGAAAGAAACAATTAAACTAAAAAAGGTTTACAAATGGATTAACATATCAAAATTTACTATTTGACCAAGTAGCTTAAACACATAAATCACAAAATTAGTTGTCTTTATCCTTTCTAACAATTTATGTGATTATATTCAACAAGAATCAAACAAAAATTAATTTCATAGCAATAACACACTAAAGAATGATTGATTTATAAGGAAATCTATGCTAAGAGAATCTAACACAATTGAACTTAATGTCTTAGGAAATTTTATCAATGTTACGAATGATTAATGGTGAACTCTATGTATAGATGCTCAATTAAAATCAACCAGTAGTGGAAAAGAAAATATATTGAATAGTAAAAATCATAAAAATTGAAGATACATTACTTCTAATCCTGTGAATAAGAGAATTAGTTACTTATAACATTTTTAACTTTAGAAAAAAATAAAGATGAATGTCTTCAATCTCCAAAATGAGTCTCAACCTTTTAAGGTTAGTTTCTTATTCCCCAAAAAAGATTGTTTTTTCTAACTTTATCAAGGATGTGGGTAAATTTGCTCGAATTAGCCTAGATGAATTATTTATGCAATTTTTACTTGATTTTATTAACAGGAGTAACCAAACCAAATATGTTTACAGTTAATTTTGTTAAGATTATATTCAATCCTCAATTATTCTTATTTGATTTTTATAATTGAAGTAACACAATATGTTGATAATTGATTTTATTGAGATATTATTTAATCTTTTTATTTATTTGCACAATATTTTTACAAATAAGAATCAAATATTTTTATTTTCCAATTTATTGAATAAAAATCTTAATTATCTAAAAAGTAACAATAAAAATACCAATATAAATAAATTAAATAAAAACAATTATAATGCCCATTGTCATGTATATTTAATTTAATGTGGAGAAATGCAGTTTCAAAAGTCACGAACCCATGTGATTTTGCTTATCTTTATAATAAAAATTAAATATTATAGAAGGTGAATTAAATATATAAAAATTACATGATATTATTTATAAAATCATAAAAAGGATATTCTTCTTTTTGGTGTACCATTTTGTTTCTAATTTTACTCTTCAAGTAATATTTTTATTTTTTTAAATTAAAATGATGATTTTACAAAATTTACCGTGATCGTTTTTTCAAATTTATGTTTTTTTTTTCAATTTAACGGTTTTTTTAACTTAATTTTCTTTTTTGAAACTGAAATAATACAATAAAAAATTATTTCCAAAATAAATAAAAACTATGAATAATAAAACTATAAACTTTATTTATTTTAATTTTATAATAATAATAATATTTTAATTAGTTTTTATTAGCATACAAAATTAAACATACTCTCTTTCTACTTCTAATCTAACCATTTGACTTGTCAAGTTATTTGGATAAGAGTAATTCGGGTTATGATTAAATAGATTGGGTTATCTAGATTTAATTTTCGTTAGATTAATCAATAAAAAATACTTTTATTTAAATTTTTAATAAAAATAACGTAATATAATCTATTAATATATTTTTAAAAGAAATTATAATACCAAAAATAAAATTAATAATTTAAACATGTGCAGCTATTGAATTTTGATATTTAATAGTTGACATAAGTATATTAACCCATTACAAGATTTTAAAATAAAAATTTAAATAGTTTCTTAGACATTAGTATTCGGTTTACCGTTATCTGAATTCATACAAAATCTACCCATCATATATTTTTCCTTTCGCTTTTCTCATCGGATTTTAAATACATATATTTCAGACAAAATTTTATTATTTTCTACTATTTTTATAAATAAAATCGGAATGAGAAGTGTTGAAAAAAAGCATGGTTCGCGTGTGGTAGTTATTTATTATTTATTTAAATAATAGTAATGTGATTATTATTAAGATTACGATGACATATGTTAATAATTAGAGAGTTTTGTGGGTTTTGGCGGTTAGGGTTTAAAAAAGTGAGAAAAGAAAGGTTTGCAACAATGCCTTTGGTAATTCGTTGAAAGCAACGTTGTTAGCTGCACAGCTCGCTGGCTTGGTGTCTTGGTATTCTGTCCGCCTCTCGCATTCTCTCTATTGTAAAAATCTTTTCCCTTCCCCTCTTCCTTTCGTTTCCATTGTATTCGTTCCATCACCTTCGTTCGTTAAGGTTTCATTATTTTGCACTCTTAATCGGTTATTCGCCTTCCTTCTATTTGAATATTTTTTTAAATTGTGCTTAGTTTGACCATTGCTTTCAGTAATTTCTATCCACAGCTATTTGCTTTTGTTCAATCAAACTTCTTTTTTACCTACACGTAATTGTAGTGGACTATGGTTGTTTTTGTTCTGTATTTTACTGTTTGGTTTTATTGCTGAAAATACTCAATGTTTGATTACCATGTTCTTTTTGAGTATGCAATGCAAAATCATACACTCTTCATTTTTTTCCACATCATTGTGCTAGAGTGTTCATGGCTTATCGTAGAAGTTAAAGACATTCAAGTATGGTTCAAGTTTTTACTAATTTTGTCATCCTTTTTAATCAAGATCATCTCTAGGAGAATGGGGTACACTAGATACAAAGTAAGATGTAATTCAGATGAAGTTGCTCATGTTCAAGAGCTTAATATCTGTAAGGATGGATAGAAAATGATTAATGAAGGGATAATAAATAGGATTGATGAAATAATATTGTCTACTACCATGCACTATAACCATGGAGAAAGTTTTCTATTACAACTTACACAGATGAACAGAAAAACAACACAGAGGAGAAGGTAGGGTATACATCCGGCACCCTTCTCTCTATTACTGTCTTGTATATATATAACCCACATTTATTCATCCTAGTGGAGTTTGTTATTTTTTCCTTTTTGTTTTTCCAATGTTCATTTCCATGAGGGATGTTTGCCAACTGTATTTGGTCACGATTGTCACTAACAGATTCCTAATTTTTCCCCGGCTTATTTTCTGATATAATAGTCTTCCAGATGATTGATGAAGTAGGGGTGAAGTCTGTGTTCCAGTTTGGAATTAATCTACCCCAATTACCATTGAGCTATCAAAGAACTTATGCAGGACAATGTTGTTAAATAACAATCATGAAAGAGTCAACACCACACTTAAGGATCCCTTACCATATGCCATCTGTTATTTGCCTTTGTATGATGCTGCCTGCCATATTTGCAATGGCACTAGGCCATACCATGTACTGTGGTGCCCATGATGGAACTCCCTCCTTTTTTTTTTATCTTTAAGAAAGCTCCTTCATGCATTAAATACACAAACCCATAACAGTTTGTTCTTTTTGTTTATTTTTTCATTCTATTTCTTTCTTTTTCTCTGCCTAATCTTCATCTCTTCTTTATTTCTTCAGATGTTCCTAATCTCCTTTCCCCCCTTATTCTCAGTGTCTGTTCTTGTTCTTCATTTGTTGAATGTTTTTGTGCCCTTGTTTTCTGCTTTTTATAATTTTAGAATCATGTTATATGTTTCTTATTAAACGGATAACATTGTTCCCAATTGTTTTTCAATTATAGGTTAATGTGAAGTCCCCAAACTCAAATTACTTGGAGATTTGTCATATTTTATTGGATTTTAGTATACAATTCTGTTGTTTCTATTTTGTTTTTGCTTTCTTTTAGTATTACTGATATATGTATTCTTTTTTGTCTGCCATGCCACCATCATATTTATATGGCTGTGTTTTTGGCTTACCACCATATGCCACCTCAATAGTGAAAGGTGGCATAATTATTGATAACCTGACACAGGATGACAATTCTGGCATGGTTGTCCAATTGGATAACTTGACTGGGATGCGGATGATTTTATAATTGTGTAACACATTAAAGTTAGTTTTGAACTACATTCATCAAATTCAAAGCTGAGTTCCCGACTGTTGAGTCTCGAGGAACTATGTAGACGAGTTTCAACATAGAGAGATTCTTAGAGATCAGAATAGGTGATTGGTCCTCATTGTCCTAGATCAAATGGTGGCAAATATTAATTGCATGATTGATTATCTATTTTCCTTTTTGAATATGTAATGCAAATATTAATATTAAAGCTGTTTGGACACTCCTCTGAATCATTCATTTTCTTTCTCTCCCTCTTCATTATGGGCATGGATTTGTGAACATGACTAATCATGGAAGTCCAAAGACTAATGGGTATAGTTCACATTTGTATTAATTTTACTGGCATCTTATAAAAGATGGAGACATAATTCCGACAAAGTTGGTGTAGTTTGATAAACTGAGCTCATGTGATTATGGACACAGTTCACATTTCTGTTAATTTTAATGGCCGTCTTATAAAAGTGCAGAGTTAATTCAGGCAAAGTTGTTTTAGTTTGAGAAGTTGAGCTCACGCCATTGATTTACTTGACTATTCTATATGCAAGGCAAAATAATCCATAAAAGCATGCTGATGACTACTTGAAGTATTATTCTGTTCCAAAAACCTTGAACCCAAGTGTATGCATTAGAATCGAGGCATTGAATAACTTGCACAGGTAGCTATTCAGACACCAAGCAGTTATTTTGGATAATTTGACTGAACCCATGTAATTATGGACACGATTCACATTTCTGTTAATTTTAGTGGCCATCTTATAAAAGTGAAGAGTTAATTCAGGCAAAGTTGTTTTAGTTTGAGAAATTGAGCTCATGCCATTGATTTACTAGGCTAATCTATTTGCAAGGCAAAATAATCCATAAAAGCATGCTGATGACTACTTGCACTATTATTCTGTTCCAACAACCTTGAACCCATCTTTATGCATTAGAATCCGGCATTGAATAACTTGCACAGGATAACTATTCAGATACCAAGCAGTTATTTTGGATCAATTGACAGGGGTATAAACAATGATAATTGTTTAATACATATTCGATGTCTGTGTACTTCCATAGTTACCAAGCTGCGTTCGCTTTGTTGTTGAACCTTCGGAACTCTGAATTTTAACAGGGATGAACATCTTTTTTCGACTTCATCAAATTCTATCCCTGAACTTAATTGTATTAACATCCTGCATTCCCTTTTCTGCTTCATACTAAATAGTACCAAAATTCGTATTCCATAATTGTAATATGTGGCTTCCTGTACACTGCTGGTTATAATATGACACATTAGGTAATGTAATCGCGCCACTTGATTCTTTTTCTGAACTTTTGAATGGTAATGCTATTGTATAAATATTTTATTCTTAATTTCTGGGATTATTTGTGTGAAAGAGTTGCTTTTAATGTTTTTTAATGCAGGAATGCAGCTGATTGAGTTTACGGAAGCTTTCAGGGACCAATAGAAAGTTTAACAGAGAGCTGCACAATGGGTCATTTGGGTGTTTCTCACCAAGTCAAGTTCATTGGTCAGCATAAGGAAAATGGAAGTAAACTTTCTTCCAGTATTCCTAAGGTGGAGGAATCAAATGATAAAGAAAATATCACTAAAGGTGAACCTATCTTCATGCCAAAATTTAAAAAAAGAAAACGCCTTAGCCTAAATCGTCTTAGAGAGATTAAAGCGGATATGTGTGCCAGTACAAGGGAAAGTGGCAGCAGCATGCCTGAAACAAAGAGTGAAAACAGAGCTAGGTGGTCAACTAAGAGGTAAATAATTTATTGCATCCTTTCTGTTTACACGCTTTAAAAATATATTAAGTTGAGACCCTAATGTAATGTAGGTATATGTTGGCTGAGCAAAGCATGTGGGAGGTCTTAAAAGGTGAAGGTGCAACGTTTGAAAATCCAATTACCCGACCTGAATTAAGAATGGCTGTCCGTAAACACATCGGTGATACTGGACTATTAGACCACTTACTGAAGCACATTGATGGTAGATTGGCACCTGGAGGCACTGAGCGATTTCGACGACGTTTCAACACCAAGGGAATCATGGAGTATTGGTCTGAGAGTGCTAATTTGGATGAAATCCACCAGGAGACTGGGATGCAAGACCCTTACCAGATACAACCGTCTAAATTAAGGTCAGGAAGTGTTCCTATGCAGAATGTTGATTCTATTGATGAACTGAAAATGCTCAAAATAGAAATGGCCCAGATGAAGAGGTATTGAACTTGGAAACTCAAATTTCATAAATAATTCTGTATGCTTACTGTTAAATGTTCAATTTTTAAGATGTTAGTTTGCATAGCAGGGACATGCAGGAGCTCATTGCAAAAAAGAAAGTAAAGAGGGAAAGGTGTTTGATGGAGGTGAATAGGTTCATAATTCAGTGGTCTGTTCTCTCAAATAGAACTTTATGAACTTTTATTTTGATATCTCTTGACAGGAGACACAGAAAAGTTTTGTGAATTGGAAAGCCATGACTGAGGAGCGTGTAACTGAGATTCTGACTTCTTTGAAGGGTGTGCAGGTATCTAAGCAGCTTATTTCCACACTTTCCCACTATTTTAGATTATAGGTCTTGTTTGGCAGTGTCTTTTTTTTGAAGAAAAACTGTACTTTCTTAAATAAAACATACATTTAAGAGACTTCTAAAGATAGTAGCTTCTGAAAGTGAGCTATCTAGATAAGCGCTTTTTATATCTTAAAACAAACTAGGCCTTAATGGGATTCAGTTTATGTTGAATGTACTATATGCTTTAGTGTAGCTTTACATACTGACAGGGCATGAATGAAGACCTTCTGATTTGGAAAACTAAAGTTGAGCAACAGCTTATGGAAATAGCCAATAAATTGAGTGATGGACGAACATTGAGAGAACTCACCACTTCAAATTATCTTCCGGTAAGCTGGGAGGATTGGCTAGAAAGCACCAACCTAGACAATATTCATGGAAATGAATTTTCTCCGTGGTTTGGGAATCCTGAGCTGCTTGATGTTCCACAAGAGATTGTACTTCAAGAGCCGAACTCAGCCCTACCAATTCAGCTGCAAAGTGTAGAACCGACTAACATGAAGAGGTGTTATAATTAAAATTATATTCTTTAAAGCCATTTCATGCACCCTTCCACGGAAAAAAAATAACGAAGGAATTGCTTTTCTTCTTTCAGTGCTTCCCTTATTTCCCCCACTTTTGATTACAGCAATTTGCAAGATTTGGTGCCAAAGAAGATCGATGAATATCAACCTAATGTGATCCCTGATTCTTCTAGGGCTGTTAATTCTAAGTCTGACCTTGACAATTCGTTGATATTGTGTCAGGTGATGTTGATAGTGTTGCTATTTTCTCAATTTTTATAGTTTTAGTATAGTATTTATTTTATAATATTTTTCTAGCAGGAAATGTTCTTGGAATTATTTACATCGAGGGATAAAATGGAGCAGCAGTTATTGGAGATATCAAATACTGTATATGGCATGCTGACATCGGAATAGACTTTACATCAAATCAAAATAGGGAGCCTAATTTCAGGATTCCAAATTTTAACCATTTTCTTTTGTTACTCTCAGAGTGTAGGGTTTAGATATTGTACAGCTTTAACAATCTAATGGTGAAGGAAAATCCTTTTCCCAACCATAAATAGAAGCCTCATCTGAATCTCACCCATAGTAAGCTGCAAATTGTTGATACTTTCCCTGGCCTTTCACAGTACAGTCAATCGGTAGGACTGTTATTTCAAATGACAGTTTTTAAGTTTTGTTAAGTAAATTAAGCTCCTCTTGGTAGCTCTTCTGGTAGGCTTTAATGTAACTTTTTTTGGCTCGAGTGCTCATGAAAACATGTACTTAAACCTTATTTGAGGATAACTTGTTATATGTAGAATTTCTGCAGTATAGTTAATCTGATACAGTGGATTATGTAATTATATAACCATTCAACTGTTTGTTGGTAACTTGGACACAATGTAGGTGGTGGTAATTAATCGCTTAAAATCTCGAATCTGTTATTTACTGTTAAAATCAGACAAATAGTATAAGAATCACCAGTGTAAGTTTTTAGATAGTGTATTTCTAATATTTCCACAAAAAAACTTATATGCTTATACTGGTGTAGGTCTGTTAATTTCTGTTTCATTATGAAAATTCATCTTTTTTACTTTTTTTTCGATTCTGTTAATCTTTCCTGTTAATTTTTTGTTGTTGATTTGAGCGACAATGTTGCTCTTGTTGATTATTCTTCAAGAACCTGTTTAACCCCTAGAACATAGAAATTGGTTGGTTCAGATGTTTTTCCTGCATTAATATTATTATGTTAAAGAAAAAATCATTTTGAAATATATTTCCTTTGTTAAAAGAAAAAATTCCAAAATCATGTTCTAAAAGTTCTATTCCAAAACTTTCATTATAAAAGTTCTATTGTGAAACGTTTTTTTTTCACTCCGATTAAAAACTTAAGTGTTCATTTCAATAGTTTTTAATTTGTTACATTTTTTTACTGTGCTAAATCTGACATTCAGTTCTTAAACTCCCATTAGATATGATTTAAGTATTACTACTATTTTTTTAGGGTAGTTTTGGATTGAATTTTTATACAAAATAATAAATAAATATAGAAAGAGGAAGTTATTCAAGGATCTAGCTTGTTTGGATGATGAGAAATTGGGAGAGAATGTAAGGAATTAACTTATACTATTTAGTGCAGTAGAAATAATATAAAATAATTGTAAAAGTGACTAGATTTATTAATACATTTTTTACCTCTTTCACTTCTTATCATTAATCTCTTCAGGTCTATCTTTGATTCCAATCAAACATCTTTAATTCTTATCTTTTATTTTTCACACGTTTTCTATTTGATTATATTTTTTTACCCACTTTATCTTTTTCCTTTTTATCAACAGATTCTCAATAAAATTTTAGAAATAATTAGATTAAAGAAAAACTTCAAACTAATTTTAACTAAAAGTGTTACATAATGATTAGATAGATTCTTAATAACATGAATAAAAAATTGAAACAATTATGACATGCATGTATACCTTAAAAGCATAAGTTTCACCTGACATCTTTATTATATTTTATTCATTGTTCTCTTTTCCTGTTTGTGGTATTACTAATAAATTATCACATTATCATTCTTCAATCTTTGTGTTTCTCTGTCATGGTACACAAATAATTCTTCAAACCTATTTCGTGTTTTTCAAAGCATCAAATCCCTTTTTGTTTAATAACTTAATTATCCTTAAGTCTCGTTGTTCAAGGATGAATTTATTTATTACTAATTGTTATTTTTATTATCCTATTATGAGACATCACCCTATGGAGGCAGGTGCACTCACGTGAATAGAAAAAAAAAATAAAAACACAAATTCCCATCATATGGAATTTTGAATATTTAATTGGTAAATAAGTCAAGTTGTGGAATATATTAAGTAAATTAAATTGTTTGTGTGATGATTTTGTTTGAAATTTTGAGCGTGGAGATAATGAGAGTGACTGAACAAATCAAAAAACATTGTCTTTGAGAAAACTCTCATTGTATACGTTACAAGACTTTTGTCCTAACTTTGATTCCTAACTTTGATTCGTTGATTCAGTCACACATGTGATCAATTGCTTTTTCCAATGCATCTCATTTTCCTTTCAACTTCATCTGATCTTCCAGAAAGTTTTTTCCAAAATTTCACTGTTTACCAATTCAACTAAAATAAAATATCAAATTTATAGCAGTCAAACAATCTAAGAAATATTCTACATAAACTTCATCGTATTCTCACTTCTGAGAAGACGTCCCTTGGATCCTTTTAGGTATCCTGAGAAGATAAATTAGAGAAATTTAACATTGACAAGCCATAACTAAATCGATGTAAATAGTGTGTGGAAAGTATTTTGTATAACTTTTTTTTATTATAATATAACTAAATCAATATTATTATCATAAATTTTGTTTATCATCATCCAACAGATTAAAGTTCAAAAAATAAAATATTTATGTTAAATTTTAAAATATATTTTTTATGTGAGATTTTCATTTAAGTAGTATATTATAATTTTTTATCCGTGTATAGAAAAAAAAAGATTTCCTTAGAATTTTGAGAAAATATATTTAAAATAATTTTATACTTGAATAATTTTTTTTTAATAATTTTAAAAAATATTTTTTAATCTTATCATTTTAGTTCATTAACATTTACAAAATTAATAAATATTTTACTTCTCATAAAATTTTATTTGGTATACTCTAATTTGAAATATATACAATTATGAATTTTTTTTAAACATTTTATATTAAAAAAACAAGAATACATTGATAATGATATTTTATAATATTATTTTCTTTCTCGTGATTTTTGAATATTTTATAAAAATTAATGGATTAAATGTATTTACGGCTTTTAAACTTTTACGTAAAATTAAAATTTGTCTATATCATAAATTTTGATACAATTTGATCCTAAACTTTAAAAGTAAATAAATATAATTTTTCTAACCAATTGAGTTAAATTTTTTCTAACGTTTAAAATAGTTTCAAATGACATTTTTGAACTATTTATACTGTTTGTTTTGGTTAAAATTTTAGTTTGAAATATTGTTTAACATAAAAAAAATTAACATGGTTGAGTTTAAAAAATTATATCATTTTTTAGTTTGAGAATAAAAATATATCAAAGTTTGGAATAAAAATGAATTTCAATTTTATGTGAAAGTTTGAAAACTACAAACATATTTAATCCAAAATCAATTAATTGATATTAAAATAGCACGAAGACAATACAAAAATAAATACAAATATACCTGTTATCCGAACAAAATAAAATATAAAGATTATAATTAATTAAAATGTGTTGTACATGAGTACATGATAATGAAATTTATATTGTACATCATGTTGTCTACCTAATTTGAAAGTAAATATTTATAGTTAATTCAATAGTAAGTTTTTTACTTTTCTTTTAACAAAATAAGAAATAAAAATAAAACTGTTGGAGATAAACTTAAATTTTATAATTTTATTAATAATTTTATTTAAATCTTATTTTATTAATCTTGGGTTTATAATATTTGATTTGATTTTGATAAAGATAAAGTAGATATAAGTAGTTTTGATTTTTCATTTATTTAGAAGAGTATTATTTTATTTTATTTTATTAATATAAGATAGAGATAGATTGAGTAGATTTTATTCTGAGCCTGTTAATATTTTATTGTCCGTTTTTATTATTTGTACTTTGCACAAGATTTTATTTACACTTATTTAAAGATTATCAAAGTTCAATGAGAAATAATTCCAATAAATTGAAAAGTATTATTATTTGTGTGGTCAATCCAATTATACATAAAATAAATACTTTAAACCAAAGTCTCAATTTTTACAACTGAAGTCTGAGCATTCAGAAATTGTTGTCCTATGTTTTCTATCTCTCAGGTCATTCCAATGAAGGATCAAACAATGTTCTATAAGATTAGTGGTGCATGAGCTAAAAATTAGTATATTAACAAAAGAACAAATTTTAATATATTAGAAATGAAAATTAAATAACTGCCGAAAACATAATACTATTTCAATAAAAAGGTCTCATGTATCTTTTAAGATTTATTATGACAATTTTATTCATTTAATAATACTATTTGTGACTGTGCCAATAGTTATATTACAGTGAGACGAAACACACATACATTTTAAAAACAAATTGAACGAAAATAAATCTGACAAATTGTTGGAGTACTAGAAAGATTTTGAGCATAATTTGGTTGGTTCAAGATCATGAGATTAGTCACGATAGGTCGAAGATAAAAACTAAAGGTTATGTGCAAAAGTAACTTTAAAAATGATTAGTAAGCAAACTTTAGAATTATTAGTAAATCACTCTAACAAAAATACAAACCATAAATATCATCTATTAATTGTCGAGAAGTTACTGACAAAAGAGTCACAAAAATAGATGAATTTAAATGAAAAAAAAAAGAATAACAAGAAATATGAATAACAATGACATCCTAAAAGTAAAGAATAACCATTCAATGAGTTTACATGGTTCTTTCGACAAGTTTAAAGTTCTCCACTAAGATTTGGTTTGTACACGTCATTGATTGATTAAGTTATATAAAATCAGAAGAAATATTGTGATATAAGCAACTTAATAATAATAGTAATTATAATAATAATAATAATTAGGTGGTTGTCTTTTATCAAAGGATAAGGCTTAAATATCTCTTATAGCTTTCATTTTTTTTTCTCTTCTCAGTCAACTCTTTGTACTTTTTAGACTTCAGAACTCATTTCCGCAGCCAGAGTCTCTTCCAGATAAATTTTTTAGCATGTTTTTTGAAGTAAGTTTTGCTACTTCTAAACCCAGTGATAGTGACTAAAATATTACTATATTCTTATTTATTTAAAAGCATTTTAAGAAAATGAGGCACGTAAAAACCAAATCCTCTATACAATCCCAAAAATGAAATATTTCACAATTTATAAAGCAGATGATGAGTACCTGATAAAAACAATAGCAACAATTTTTTTTAAAATACATTTGCTATTATTCAATGAGTGCAGCTTGTATAAAGACTAAAATAAAATAAAGGTATATTTGGTATATTTATCTGACAAGTGGTGCAGATGTCTGCGGATATAATTGGGGAAAAAGCATCATCAGATATTTAATAATCTCACATCACAACACAAAACAACATCAACTTGTGTCCGCAATTCAGTATTCCACAGTTCATTCCGCAGTTCATTCAACTCGTTCAATTCAAACTTCAAAGCAAAACACCCATAGTTCTTACAAGAAGCACAAATTTGCACACACCCTCTTTCTTCTTCCCCTAAATTTCATTCCATTTCCGCTTCCATGACATCTTCCGAGGAGAGAGAACATAATACACCATGCCCAAGAACATGTTCACACTTGTAACTCGTGACCACCACCA